CCGGCCCCGCCGCCCGGCCCCCTCCCTCCGCAGCCTCCACCCCGGGGCTGCGGCGCGGTGGGGCGCAGCGCGCCGAGGCGGTGAGATGAATCTGGGATCGACTTTGTCCGCAGTCGCCTCACTCCCCTCGCTATCAGCGCCGCTGCGCCCGCCACCAGCCCGCCACCGGCCCGCCACCAGCTCGCCCGACCTCCGCCCACGCGCCGGTGAGTCGAGCACAGGACTCGCACACAACCCATGTCCTCTTCCATTTGGAATCGAAAGTGAAACGGTGGGTCTCAGAGTCTCCACAGGGTACCTACGCTGCTGACTCGAGGAACTCTCATAATGTGAGTCACACGTGGCTGCCCGTGAGATGGCGTATCCGATATATCTGCTGTCTTTCAAAGGTTTTGTGATGGTTTGTGTGCTCCATTTGAATTTCCACCCCATTAATGCACAATAAGAGACGTCTTTGAGTCACGGTCTATTAACTGTTACCGCAACATTTTACGCCTCGGTGTGTTCGTGCTGCAACATCCGATCTGTCGACGTCAAGACTATCCGCCTATTTCGCTCGCCATCGAGACTATCAGATCAGTTTTGGGGGCAACATCGGGAACCCAAGTGTGTGAATGTCACATACTCACAGGAATGTGAACGCGTCGTCGTGCACAAGCAGGACATCTGGGTGAAATTCAATCCCTTATTCCCTCAAGCGTACGAATGAACATTCACACACTTGCGTTTCCACACTGCAAAATGCTTGCAAAGAATAGGTTCGTATTGCAAACTATTTTCTTTGCAGCTTGCAAAGAATTTTCAAGCATCGTAATACGAACTAGTTCTTCGCAAGCTTGCAAACTATTTCTTTGCAATGCAAACACATTGTTTGCAAGCATTCTGCAAGCTTGCAAAGAACTTCTTTGCAATACGAACTAATTCTTTGCAATACAAAGATCACAAATTCTTTGCAACGTTGCAAAAAATATTGTTTGCAAGCATTTTACAGTGCAGTGCATCGATACAATACAATATGAGATTTCTAATCGGTTGGAGTTTTCAATGCTGTTTTACACTTCTTAAAAAGCCACTCCCCTTTGCTCTTTCCTGAAAAAAGTTTTGTCTGTGTGTGCATTCAACGACCGTTTATAAATCAAATAAACAATAAACAAACTTCGGGCAAATATGTTTGGTTGAAACAATGAAGGGTTGGCTTGTCCCCATGCTACTGCCACTACTGTATTTAATTTAATCGGAATTTTAGAGTTGTTTTTACTCGTTAAGTAAATAGATGAAAATTGTTTGAAATTACGGTCGATATTGACTGCTAGGCTAGAAGGATATAAGACAGGCTAAGCGAGCTCGGCGAGCCGTGCTGTCGGGTACCTGACCGCATGACTAGCAGCGGAGCATCGTGTCATAACATTTCAGTACTGTGTTACACACAGTAAGTCGGTGCAGTGACGAAATAGAAGAGGATAATTTGGAAATGCTCCGAACAAAATCATGTGAAAGTATTTATTATTTTGTGTCTGAAATCATTGACACAGTTTTGTTGACAATGTGTTATTATAATTTTATGTGAGGAGACCATCAAATAATGGCAAGAACAGGAATCAGAGGAAGGACGGGTGCTAAGGGACAAAGTCTACGGCACCGCAAATCCACTCGAGTGGGATCCCTTCCAGGCGTGTGAATTTTTATTTGTACCTTTGGAGGTAAAATTTTGCGAAATTCCATTGAAGATTCACTCTTTTCCCGACCAAGCGTGTGATATTCAATTCACACTCTTGAGTTTACAGTATGTGGGCCGATTCCTATAATTTTAAATTTTAGAGCGAGTCCATGCAAATTACACACAGGAACTAGGTTGCAATATCATTCATTACAGTCAGTAAAATTGGTTACCTGTTAAGCAAACATTTACCACCCAAAAATGCGATCTGGATTCTAGAACATTTTTCACGCGTTCTTGATTTTTCTCAAAAACACTACGCTTGTTTCAAGGATAATGCCAACACAAGCGCAATATTCCTGAGAAGCCTGCTTTTTTTTTCGTGTACTCAAGTGTACCGGGGCGGGCATCGAATCCGCGTCCCCTTGCGGTCTGTTTTTAAGTTGAAGACTACTCGATGGAAACCACAAACGGACCGCGGCTGGTTTTATCCGCCGATACTCGTCACACATTTTCCACGGGCCAAGTTATTGCGGAAATAAACAGAACATGACAAACAACCCGAAATTTGGGGCCCAGCTTTCACCACGCCTCGAGTGGCGTTGTGGTCAGCTGAGCTGATGGGGTGGCGGTGGCGGCCTGCCCCGCGGGGACTCCTGACGGCACGTGCAGGGCGGGGC